GGATGCCACAGAAAAGGCCCTGGCCCTCGTGTATAGAAATATTGATTTCTAAATGTCTCCTGCATTCTCCTGTTCTGTCTTTTGGTAACAGGCTGTGCCTTATTTCCTGTTACAAGCCAAATGGTAGGCCCCATGGCCTCAATTGCATGCCATAAACCCACATTCTTCACACTTCCATGCTGGAAGCTAGGCCTACATGCAAGAGCTCACGTAGCCGATGGAGAAGCTGGAGTTGGGGGCCATGTGACTGCAGGCGTGGTTTCCAAACTTCCAGCCTATCCCCACTTGTACCCGTGACAACCAAAAAATTGGCCACACACCCTGCTACTCCTGATTGGCTGATGGCCACAGCTAGTCATGATTAGATTGGGGTTTAATTGTCTGGTCCCTTGGGAGAGAGACTCTCTCTGTCCCTTGCTCTTGTTCTGCTCTTGCTTCTGTTGTTGCCTGTTTATTGCACCTGGACATGTGCTCCCTGGAAGAGACAAAGGACTGCTTTGTGCCTTAGAGCACATGGAGGGCAAAGATGGGATTGTTCCTAAAAATCCCTTGGCACCTAACTGGACTGTATCCTGGACACTTTTGGAACATGGACACTGTACTGGTAATTATGCATATCTCTAATGTGTAGTTAAGGCAAACTGCCTTAGGCTTGTTATTTTATAAACTCTATGGTCTGTTGCTAAGTTCTGTCCTGAATAAAAACTTATTCTTGTTTCTAAATGGTCTCTGATGTTGTAACTGGGATTCCATTTCCCGTGCCTACCTGGCCACACGCTACCATTGAGCATTAAGTGTACATCTCTGGGAACGAGGTGCGAATGTGTTAAGCCCTAGATGCCAGCTGAGAGATCTGGATCTCTGCTCTGAGCTGGAGGGGATTATAGAATACTGAGAGATTCTGGTGGCATATTGTTCTGAAATCCAGAGAGGGTAGCCTACCTCTCTGGGTTGTTGTTAATGTATTGTAAAAGTATAGGATTCCCTCCCATTCCTGGACAGGCTTGAGGGGCAAATACCTATACACCTCGTCACAGCTAGCCTGGCTTCTTTAGGGCCTGGAATGTGTGAACCAGACTTTGGGAGTGGTAGCACTCTAGGCTGACTCACTTCAGGCCTCCTTTGAAAAGGCCACATTTTTGAAAACTGCCCTTGCACAAGAAGGAAACAGTATTGCATGTAGTGAGCTAGCACATCAGCAAAAAAAGCTATATTCAACTTTTAACTCAGATGGGTTAGATTCCTACCTGCAAGGAGCTTTTTTTAAAAAAAAGAAAAACAACACGGGGAAACATGACCCTCTTGTAGCACTTTGAAATAGTCATCTCAAATTCTAGAACCTCCCCCTGCTTTCATG